TCACCCGCTAATGAACCATTTTATCTAAGTGCAAAACAACAGAACATAGAACTTGCTTAACCGAACATGATTCTCATTCATAAAGGGCAAAAGTGTAATAACATCAAAAGCCTAGCTTTTAGTATATAACACTAACAATCTCCTACTTAGACTTCAAGCTTTCGCTTTTACAACTGTAGTCCTATCAATCCATTATTCTAAAAGACTTCAAGCTCATACGTACATTGAATGAACCGTACGACTGGATCACCTTATCGAACTGGATGTTCCAAGATCTCGAAGCTTGCTTCAGTCCATAAATAGATCGATTATGCTTCCACACTAGAGGCTCATGTCCCTTAGCACTGAATTCCTTTAGTTGTTGCATATAGATATCCTCCGGAAGGTTTCCATTAAGAAAAGTCGTCTTGACATCCATCTGTCAAACCTCATAATCCATATGAGCGGCTACAACCAAAAGAATTTGAATGGACTTAAGTATAGCTACTGGCGAAAAGATCTCATCATAATCAAGACCCTTTTTCTAGGTATAACCTTTCGTAACAAGCCTAGATTTGAAGGTCTCAACCTTTCCATTTGATCATGTATTTCTCTTATAGACCCACTTGCATCCAACGGGTCGTACCCCATCGGGTGGTTCCACAAGATTCCAGACCTGATTGAAGTCCATTAGCATTCTAACAGCACATGATACATACAACAATATTTCCCAAGACAATAAGACTATTGATCCAGCGAACTGAACCTCACTCAAGTGAATTAAAGTAATAAGTACTGTATGCACATGTCTATTTAATATCTTACCAGTTAAGAGAACGCAGTTATTAACCGAATCCTAGTTTGTTTACGAAGATCAGTATAAAACGAACTTCTCCTCTCTAAGATCCATTCAATACATCAATGTACTAGTGAAACTAAGCAGTCAAGACCGACTGTACCGTTGACACTACAACTATTCTGATGGGGTGTTCATTTTCATCTAGTTTATGAACCAATAATTCTTGTTTCCCAAGTCACTGATAAAATGATCTATTCACCCGCTAATATACCATTTTATCTAAGTGCAAAACAACAGACATAGAACTTGTTTAATCGAACATGATTCTCATTCATAAAAGGCAAAAGTGTAATATCATCCAAAGCCAAGGTTTTAGTATATAACACCAACACTTCGGACGATTAATGAAATGGGCAGTTGAGTTAGGAGGATATGACTTAATATTCGCACCCCAAAGAGTGATTAAGGCTCAAGCTTTAGTAGACTTCATCAAGGAATTCCCAATTGACGAAAACATAGAAATATGGCTGGTATATTTCGATGGAAGCTCAACTGCTGGAGAAGCTGGAGTTGGGATCCTAATAATCTCACCAAAAAGAGACTATTTAGAGTTTGTTGTAAAGTTTTCTTTTCGAGATTCTAATAATGAGGTCGAGCACGAGGGCATGATAAAAAGAATTCTACTCACATTTTCAGTAGGGGCCCATAAGGTGCTTGAGATCATAAAGGGATTCTTTGAGCAAAAGGAATAAAGGATGAAGAAGTATTTCTAGACCGTCCTTGAGATCACAAAGAGATTTTTTGCATGGGATGTGGTTGAAATACATAGGGTCAAAAATATGTGAGCTAATTTGTTAGTCAAAGTAGCTAGTTCCTTAGCACACTACAACGATGACACTGCTTCTGATGGGATGTAGCACGCTAGAACCAGTCATGAATGTAGCCGAGGGAAAAAACATGCAAGCTTATATCATGATGAGCCCCACAATATTGCGACGAGCCCCACAATAATTCCGCACAACAACAACCACTATAAGAGATTATATGCTGAGCCACACCTAAAATACGTAACAAGCGTTGATGGCAACTACATACTACGAGAGATCCACGAGGGATGTTTTGAAAGTAACATAAAAGCTCGAGCACTAGTTGGGAAAACAATGAGAGAATGATACTTCTCGCCACCCATAAGAGTTGATGCGGTGAAGATGGTGACGAAATGCTAAGCATTCTAGATGTATGACGTGGTTACACACCAACTTGCTGAAGAAATGATGACGATGAGCACCCCAATCCCATTTGCCAAGTAGGGTATTGACATCGTTGGTTCTTTACCGCAAGCCACGGAACAGAGAAAGTGGCTGATAATAGCCATCAATTATTTCAGCAAATGGGTAAAAGCGGAGGCCCTAGATAGCATAAAAAAGAAGCGGGTAATTGACTTCTTATTTTCTACCATCTGTTTTCGGTTCAGTATACCGAGAATGATGATTTCGAACAATGACACCCATTTCAATGGCAAAAAAATTAGGTTCAGTGCTCCGAGATGAGGAAAACTCAAAGGTTTGTGGCTATAGCACACCCCGAACAAACGGACAGGTTGAAGTAACATATCGAATTGTTTTACAGGGCATCTAGAAGCGGTTAGAGAAATTCTTAGCTACCTAGTTCGAGGAGTTGGACTCAGTCCTATGGTATGAAAGTAATATAGCTAGACATGTAGTTAGCTCGATCAAACCGATTCACGTGATCAGTTGGGTCGTTTGAGATATCAAGTCGGGCCATATCAGGGTTGAGGGGTCGTTACACCCTACCCAAACAACCCGAGTACTCGAACTCAACCCAACGACGGTTAATGAGGTGAAGTTGAGCAACCTTAATAACTCGAGTTTATTTGGTAGATAAATAAAACAAATTTAAAAGAGAATCAAATGAAACTATACAAAGTTTTACTTCTAATACCAAATTTCTATATAAAAATGTAGGATAAACGACACAATTAAGAGATTACATAGAGCAACCATTTTTAGACATATGCCAAAATGTAGGGTTCTAATTTAACAATTTTAGATTAATCCCCTCTATATATAATTCCCGAACGCGCTGAGCCTACGTGGCTGTTTCTGGTGCTTCGTAATCCTACTTGGCAAAGAATCATGCTTCGTAATTAGGTTTGGACAAATAATATTGATATATTAATAATTAATAATCTAGGTTCGGACATTCCATAAATATTATTTAGCTAATTTAGGTATTTAAATATCACTTGTACTAATATAACCCTTTAATTTTTTGTGATTTTTACAACTAATATATCTCTGACTTTTAATTTGTTTCCTTTAATTCTTTCCGGATTATCCATAAATATGTTGATTATTTCTGGTCATGTTACATGTATCAATTGTATTTTAATAGCATTTACTATTATAATCATTGATCTGTAAATATATTTTAAAAGTTAATAGCTTTTGTATTTTTTATTAGTTTTACATATATAATATATCAAATTAATCATCTCTTGATGTGCTTCGATTTAATAACAAATTAGTTTTATAAGATTAATAAAATTGTTTTTAAATATTAATTAGAAAAATAAAATTATTTATCCATTAATATATTTATATTTCAAGTAGTTATATAATATAAGTTATAAAAATTACTATAATATAACACAGGTAAGTCGCACAAGTAACAAATGTCATTCTAAACTATATAATAATATATATTTTTTGTTAAAAAAGTAAATAAAATTTAAAATAATTTTTTTCATTAATTTTAAAATTTCAGAATAATTTTTTAACAAGCACCCGTGTAATACACATGTGTTCTACTAGTCATTCAATATAAAAGAATAATAAATTTCATGGTAATATTGCAACATAACTTTAAGAAATATTTTAAAATTATCTTTTCATAAATTTTTTAGTTGAATTTCTCCATAATAAAGTACAAGTGGAAGAAATTATTCCAACTAAAATTGTATGATAATATTATTTGGCAAAAAATTATTGTTGTAATCATCAAATTTCAACAGAATTTTTCAAAAAATATAATTCCGACAATAAATATAACAATGGGGGTATATATACATTTGAATTTATATTCGACTTTTTCATTGTTGAATTTTATGTGGGAATGTGGTAATTTTTTTTAAAGTGTCTTTTTTGTTTGCTCTTTTTATTTTATTTTTATTTTTTAAGGGATTTTAAAATATGATAATTTATAATGTTTTCAAGTTCTGGTTCTCATGGGTTTGTTTTTATTTTTTATTTTTGTTAATTAAGGGTCTTACTATAATAATATTAATTTCATGTTAAACCACAACAACATCAAATTCAAAACCGATTTGGATTCGCAGGTGACTCGGCTCAAATGTGGAGGCTTCATCTTTGCCCTCCGCTTTAACCACACCATGTTCGACGGCAAGGGTCTCGTCCAGTTTATGTCGGCCATCGGCGAGCTAGCCCTCGGGGCCCATAGCCCCTCCATCCTCCCAGTTTGGGAGCGACACCTCCTCAGCGCGCGG